ACTACAAGCCTCAGAGGGTTGGGGCCATGCTGACGACGGAACCCAACGACAACCCGGGCCCCGGAAGTGACTGAGACGAGGTACTGTACGTCGTCATCGGGCGTGCTCCCCGCCCCCACTACTGGGCATCAAACTGGTGCTCGAACAGGGCCGGACTGCCAGCCAGCCAGTCAGTCACCTGGGTCAGATACCTTATGCAAGACAGCCTTTTTCTTGCAGGGTGCATGGCCATTGATCGGAAGCCACTCTCGGTGTTGCGAAGTGAGTGTTGTAATTTCTTCGTTCAGGGCCTCATTCTGGATGAGCCGGGTGGGTACATCGAGCAACAGAATGGTCGTCCGCGGCCCCAAGGGTCAAGTCATGAGGACATCTAGCTCTTCATCAAAAGAAAACTAGCAGGTGTACCCAACCTTCAGAGGAAGGACCAACTCGCCTCGAATCTCATGGTTCGGGATCCCTCGTCTGTTGAAGTTTGCGCTGTCGGGTTTGTGGGTTCTGAGTCGCGGCAATGAGGGGTAAACTGAGGGCACACAGTGCTTTTAGAAGAGCAATGGCTTTCGGCACTGACTGACGCAATTGGGAGTTCCTTCTTTTGCCGCAGTGCTGACATCTTCCCGCCCAGCCTGCTCTCGGCTTTCGATGACACCTTGCCGCCGCCATGGTTCAATCGCCACAACCCCCCCCCCGGTGCTTGCTGTGGTGGCTGGTCTCTCCAACTACTTATGGTGCCTATTCAGGTAAGCATGTTACCTACATGTGCGAGTCGAGATGTTGAACAGCCAACACAGCATCTCACCAACCGCGAGCGTGGTCCATGTGCAAATCTTTCTTTTTCCTCTAGTGGTACAGTACAACGCCAGCAACATCCAATTCACCCACATGACTGTTTCTGCCTCTTTTCATCGTTTTTGTTTTCTCCGATTACCGGTCCATGTTCTTCATCCTCCGCTGATGCCTCTCTCAGTTTGCTTGATCCGAGTCCGGTACAGCCCAGCCAGGTAGTCGAGTATTGTGCCGGGCCGAGTTGGAAGGGGCAGGGGGAGGTTCAGTTTGCTGCCTGCAACGGCGACGAACGAGTGTCTTATCGCCGCCTCTTCACACTAATGTTCTTTGTCCTGTCCCCCCTGCCGGTGTCGCTGTGAATGCATGAAATAAAACGTGTGGGGAGCCACTCCCAAGGTCAACAAGGATAAGCAATCAGAAGAATGTGGGAGAATGAGCCCATTCAGCAATTCTTCGTAAACAAACGCGTGGAGCAGGAAGACTGGCGCGGCGCTGTTCATGTTTCCCGCGGGCACGTCTGAGGGTTGACGCTGCTTCTGACTCTCGTCCTGACCTCAGCCTTTTCATCGTGCTGTGCCCTTCTTGACAGGCACCAGGGTCCAATATCCCCTCCCGCGCTGCAAAATCAAGGGCAGGGAAAACGCCCATCCGTAACGCCATTTGTCAAGAATTTCCCCTTCGCACTCCTTTTCATCTCTTTGCAGCATGCGTAAAGAGATTTTTTTTCTTTTCCAAATCAGACTCAAAAGGTCATGCCCAGATGACCACCGAGTCTGCCAAGAAGCCCCTGATATCCATCCACCAGCCATTGAGGTAGTCCCTATATCCGCGTTCCGGAACATCGTATCCGTAGCTCCTGATCGTTCGTGACAGGCGTCGTATGTCATGCCGGCTTGGCTCCTGGCGAGCTAACACCCGCAGTTGTCAGGAGAGCTGGCCCACATGCTGCACGCTCTCTTCGTCTATCCTGCGCGTGAAGGCGGTCGAAGACCGAGGAGAGATAGGCAACGCCAGCTGGGCAAGACGGGTGCTGCTCCAGACCAGACATGGCCGCTCTACAGAAATCTGCGACCATGGCGGTATCGATGCCCTCCCCGGCAAGGTAGTCCACCCAGAACCGGTAGAGAATCTTCATGTCTGCGTGGACATGTCCTGCCTCGGCCCTTGGCTGCAAGCCGAAAGCCCTTCTGCAAAAGTCGAAATAAGTAAAATCATCAAGAACGAGCTGCTTCGTGTCATTATGCAAGGGTGTATCGTCCGTGGTCATGCTCGTGGGAGTCAAGCCTCGCAATTGACTCGTAACACATATGTGCACCCGAGAATGATCCGGTGCAACATTTCTGCCTGCTTGCGCCTCACCGCAGTTGGCATGGCAGACACTTTCGCCACTCTACGACTGGAGGGCCTCGACCTGTGACTCGCCATGCGTGCCGTTCACCTGCGCCTGAGCGGCGGGTGTGGTGCCATTCACGTCGCCGTTGACCTGCTCCTGGTGCTGGTCCGCAAAGGCACTGCTCGGCTGGAAGTCGGGAACCGCAGCAGAGAGCTGACCATTGGCCTCGCCGTGATAGGCTCCGTTCATCAGCGGCAGGCCGTCGTATCCATGGCCGTTGATCCCGTTGACGTAGAGAGGGGGCGAACCCAGAGGGTAGTCGGTTGCCGCCGGGTCACGGATCGCCTGCTGATCGAGAGAGTAGCTGTGGAAGGATTCAGGCCCGTCGGTCTGAGCGGCCTCAGACCTCTGATCTGTGGGAAGCACAAACTTCTGCCAGTGATCGCGGGCGCGCACGCGTTCGAGCCCGTCCTTGCCGACAACGTAGTCAATAGTCGTAGACTCAGCGACAGCAGCACGCAGGAGGTGCAGGTTGGGACCGCAAAGTTGGAAGACGCGCTGGAAGCCATGGATGAGGGACAGAGCGACGAAGCCCTGCGAGTCCATGTTCTTGCGAAGGTGAAGATCTTTGCACAGATTCTCCAGAGAGAAGTAGAAATCAACCTGCTGTGTCAGAACAGGCTTGACGTGGAAGTCAAATGCCTGCTGAGGAGGGTAGACAGGGGCCGTCATGGGCATGTTGGGGTAAGAATCCCAGGTGTATCCCATGTTGCCCGAGGTCGAGATGGGGCGCGGGCGGTTGCCGTTGCCGTTGGTGCGATGCGAGTAGTTCGATGCGGTAGACTGCCGATTGCCGCCACGACCAGAGGGCCTCGCTGACCCGAAGCTCTGGGGGAAGGAGTTGCCTTGGGGCAGGGGAGGGCTCGTGAACTGCTGATGGCGAGAGGGTACAGGCTGGGCGGCGAAGGCACCAGCATTGGCGTTGAAAGAGCCTTGCTGGTTGTGGGGAGGCACGTTTTGGTGCCCGCCGCGACCACGATAACCGCCGCGGCCACCCCTCTCCCCTCGACCATCACCGCGGGGGCCAGTGTGCTCCTGGAATTGTGGTTAGCTCGGGTTCCAGATGCTTGGCTGCCGCCGAAGGTCATGAGGAATAGGGTGACATCAACTTACGCCAGCGCTGGCGTCCTTAGGCCGTGACGCGTTCTTCCTCGACTCCCTAGGACGAGTCGCCTCGGTATGCCTGGTGGTCGATGGGGGGACGGAAGTCGGCCTGCTAGGCGCGGCACCGTCCTTGGACTTCTCTCGCTGGTCGCTGCCGCCCTTGACCGCGTTGCCGGCAGGGGCTTCAGAGCTGCGGTCCGCGGCACTGGCGGACGTGGCATTGCCACCACCCCTGGTGGAGACATCACGGCCGCCTCGTCCGTTGCGGCCGCCGCCACGAGAACCGCGCATGGCAGGGACAGGAGTCTCAAAGTTGACTGTCGGCACAAAGTCCATGCGAGACCACTGCTTCTTCTCCCTCGACTTCTGACCGGCACTGTCATCGTGAGCCTCGGGTTGCTCTGTACGCTCCGTCTTCTCGGCGGGCTTGCGCTTGTCGTCCTTGATAGCCGTCTCAGGCGTAGGCCAGAAGGTAGCATCGCCGACCGGGGGCAGCGCATCGGCCTTGTCGCCCGCACGCGAGCCGCGGGCACCCGGTCCTCCTCGATGTCTCGCCCTCGGTGCGAACCTCCTCGGCAGCCTTTCTTGGTTGCTTGACACCGTTTGCAGGTCCAATCTGGGCGGCACTGGTCGAGGAAGAGTCGACAGAGTCGGCAAGTTTGGACTTTTTCTTGGAATCCTGCGAGTTGCCCCACGTTTCGGTCGAGGCAACCGAGCCATCGCCTTAGCAGCAGTGGTCTGAGCGCCTGCGGGCCGCAAAGCTTGGCTTGACCCTGGCATCCTGGGCCTCCTTTCCGTGTGTCAGATGTTTACAGACGGCATTGGCGCCTCTGTGAGCTCGATCTGGGCTGCTCTTTTCCTCTCGGGCTCCTTGTCCTTGTCTTATCGGGCTCCCGTTGGTGGCGGCCTTACCTTCCGACCTTGCGCTGGCCTTCTTGCCGTCGTTCTCGTCGGTGACGCGGGTGGAGGAGCTGGAAGAGCGCGCGGCGCTCTTGTCGCTGCGGTAGTGGGAGGTCTCCGTGGTTGTCTCGTCGTCATCCCGTCCAGTGCCATTCAAGGCAGGAGCAGATGCTGAGCCCATGTCGGTGGGGGCTGTTGAGGCAGGAGTGCTCTCCTGCGCGGGGGCAGAGTCGGTTTGCTCGGCCGCAGAGGCCTCTTCCCCTCTTTGATCCTTTGGAGAGGCGTCATTTGACTTGGGGCTCTGCTCGTCGGCAGCCGACTGGTTCTTGATGGCGTCTTTGATATCAGCAATGTGGTCCTCCGGCGCTGAGGCCGACTGGGTCGTAGTCGCAGATGTGACGTTGGGCGCCTGCCCCTTGGCAGCTTGCGCGTAGGAGAAACTCGACGAGGTGGCCATGGCTACCGTCGACTGTGAGTGTCCAGTGTTTGGGTCGAATGACATGCAATTTGTTGTTCGTCCTGCTAGTAACAGGAGGCGGCGGCAAGGACGGACAATCACCAGATCCGTCCTGACCGTATCCGAAGTACGGACGTGAATGCGTCACTGGAAGAAAGTGACACGCTGGAGGAGCAGTGGCGGCCGCTCAACACCTTGGTTGTGGGCTGCCGGTGTGTGCCTACAGAGAGTACGAACGGGCCGACGTTGCCGCGATTCGAGGCGGAAAAAAACAGGCGAAAGCGGATGACGGAGACGAAGTGCTCGTTCCCAGAAAGGAGGACAAAGATTGGGTAGCTTCGCAGGGTGGGATTCCTTCGGGGTGACGGGGAATGCCAGAAGGGGTGGTTGTGAGGTGGTGTGGTGTGGTGTGGTGTGGTGAAAGGGCCAGGCGTGGAAGAAGGAAGTTCGACTGTAGGCGAGGTAGGGAGAGAAAAATCTCGACTGCCGTAAAACGCGAGGTTCGATTGGCGAGTTCGGGTAGACTCGTAGCGCACGGGGCCTGAAGCTGCTAGGTAGGTAGGTAGGTACCTTGTGAGGAAGGCAGATAGGCAGGCAGGCAGGCAGGCAGGCAGGGCAGCAGTTGAGCAAAGTCGCAGTAAACTCGGGGAATCGGAAGCCGGCCAGAGGTGAGAACCGACCCCTCAGTGCGCGCAGCGAGCAATTTCGATCCTTGATCGTGTGTGCCCTGCAAAAAGAGGCGAGGTTCGTTGAACGAGACGGGAGGGCCTGGCGAAGAGAGAGGGACGGGAAGAGGGGAGGGGAGGGCTTCGTGCAGTGAAAGTGTGGTAGAAGAGGAAGTTTCTCGTCGACCAGGTCGAATTAAACAAGCCGAGATTTTTGCTGTGGGAAAACAAATTTTTTTTCCTTGTCGCTGAAGCCCGCCGTAGTTCCAAACGCTACCAGGTTGGCATCTAACTGCAGGTGGAGTTGAACGCCCGTTCGCTCCACAGTCAGTGGACAGGGCAGCCTAGGATAACCCAACCCGTCGTGGTCGTGGGCACGCGACCGGTCACGAATGGCGGGCAGGACAGAGAAACGGAAGAGGTCAAAGGCAGCGAGGAAGAAGTGGGCAACGGACCGTACGGAGACGTGGAAAAGGCAGACAGAGAGATGAACAGAAGGGTTCTGGAGTTGGTCGGTGCCTGGACAACGCGTGTTGTAGGGATAATCGTTTGACGTGTCGAGAGTGTCCCGTTGGGTTGGGTGTGGTGTGGTGTGGTGTGGTGTGGTGTGGTGGGCGCAGGTGAACGGTAAGTATCATTCATTGGTGGGTGAGTAGGTACCTAAGTAAGTGAGTGATTCAGTGAATGAGACGGCCCCGAGAACGGACCAAAGGAGTACCGAAGGGACGCAACAAGTCTCGACTGGTCGGTTACCTCAGGTGCCTTACCTACCTCTATCTGAAAGGTAAGGTACTTGGATGTGCAACGGGATCTGGAGCCTCAGGCCGACGGACTGAGCAGGCAGGCCATACTACCTAAGGTACCTAGGTAGGTGATTCAACTGGCGCCTGGTCTCGGCACGGCTCGGCGGTTAGCAAGGCCTGCCTGTGTATCTACATGGAGCAGAAGCTGCTTGGCTTGGAATATGATCACGGCCACCGTGCTCCGTCTCGACATCGGGAGCATGGCCATGCACGAATGGTCAAAGCCAATAACACATCATGACCGCATGAACTTGAGCCTGGCTTAGACTCCTTGCAAAGCTCTTGTATCAAGTCCTTGTCCTCTGTATCTGTACATGCTACCATGCATACCATGGCGAGCAGCTGAACAGTTGAACCTCTGCTATTGCGCTTGCCGCCACACATCAGGCAGGCTCCTGTACCCGACTGACCCGGGGGGGGGGGGCGTTGGGAGTCCTACCTCGGCCCTCTACCTGGCTACCGACCACCCTGCCTTACCATTGCCTTACACGGATGTTTCAAGATGCGTAAACACTGCTTAGATTAGCGAAAGAAAGCGTCTCAACCGCGCAGGCCGCGGTCAGGGAGCTGACTCGTTAAGACTGGACCTGCGCTGCACTTGGGCTCGCTGTGGTCAGACCAGGGCCCTGATGTGTGTGTGTGTGCTCTTCCTCGGTGTCCGCCGGCCGGTCCACCAATTGCCCGCCCACCTTCCCGTTTCGGTAGACAGAAGCAAACGACAGGTATCTTACGTACCGAATTAGGTAAAGACGTACGGGCTGTTAATTTTTGTGTCTTGCCCTCATGACTGCAGTTTGACGTCCATTTTAGGCCCGACAAAACCGTCCTGCTCAAACAGGATTTGGTTTTCTTCTGTTGTTTCACTCAAGCCGAAGCGGTCACGGGCCATCAGGAAAAGGAGTGCAGGACGGCGGATCCAACAAACGCGGTATGCTGCAACTGTAGGTTCAACAAGTCTCTGCTTGCCCGTGTCGGCAAGAATACAAAGGCCCGAGTGATATTCGTTACTAGGATACATTGATCATGCCCGAGGTCTTCCATCCACTGAAAGTCTCTTTGTTGCGTCGTACAGAGAGTATTCTCCGAGTATGAGGTGGTTGGTAGTACATTTGCGCCATGAAATTCAAGTGTGCGGAACATGCCCATCAGCCCGACACCCACGCCGCAGCTCGTCGAGCACCAAAGGTCGTTGCGAGGCGGATGCCGCTGGATCCCATGGGGAAGTAGCTGACGAGATACCAGATGAGGCAAGCCAACTGCACGATGGCAGAAATTAGGGTCAAAATCGTGCTGCGAAGCTGTACCGAATGGTTAGCGTCCTCTCCAAAGCACGAGGATAGCAGACTTACGCCGAGCGAGAAGTACAGAGAAAGGCCCAGAGACCCAAAATAGGCGCTGGTGAAGGGAAGACGCTCCGCAGACCCAAGATGCCGAACGTAGGCCATAGGCCCCATCATGGCCGCAAAGGAGGCGAGGAAGAAGATGGAACCGAGAGTCCATCTGTGCCCGAATATCAGCCAGGATCGGAAACAAACGAGGGGGCCTCCTGCTGCCTTGCAAGACTACACATTCGGTGACATGCCGTGCGCCAAGGCGGAATACGTACAATATGACAAACTTGGTTGGGCGTAGCGACAAGACCGGAAAGAGCGCAAAGCAGATGACGAAGCAGGCGAGTGCCGCCAAGTTGCATGCGCCGAATATCATCAGTCGATCCCAACGGCTCACTGCAAGGTACGCATGAGTTAGCCAGGGCCAAGGAAGTGCGGTTGG